CTGAAGATGCTGCCGCAAATTGGGTCTCTTTTTGCCTCGGGAGGTAAAGGAGGGTCGTGCGCTGACTGGTCGCTCCTGGTACAGGTGAGCTTTATCCGGCCTGGCGGTGGTGCGAGAAGCAAGACGCGATCGAAGATGCCTTGCAGGTGAGATCTTGCCCCTTTTCCTCTTTCCTCACTTCTCTTTTCCTCCCCTTGCCCCCTCATTTTTCCCCCTCTTTCTCTGTTCTCTGTTCCTCTTCTTGCCCCGTTGCCTGTCTGCTTTTCGCTTTTCTGTCTTCCTCCCCTTGGTGCCTTGCTTTTCCCCTTTCCTCTTCCTTCTCTCGTCCGTCCCGCGCTCAGACACGCATCTTCACAAGTCTTGGCCTCCCTCCCTTCCTCCCTCCCTCCCTCCCTCCCTCCTTGCTTCTTACCTCATGCAGACCCTCAACCTCAAACCTGCGCTTCCTGATTTCTACAACATCCTTCTCGAACGACCGCGCGGCGACGCCAACGGCTACGGGTCGGTCCCACCCTCCTGACTGCCCTTCTCTCTCTCTCCTGCCTTCACACCTGCTTGCTCCCATCCTGGCGCCGCCTCTGACGTTCTCTTGTTCCCACGCTTGGCTTTTTGGCTTTCCAGCCTTGTCTTCCCTGCCTATTCTTCCCCTCGTTTTCCCGCGGTGCATGTCTTGCTGGCGACTTCGCTATGGCCTCAACCTCCTCATTCCCTCCTTCCCCGGCATATCCCTCCGTGTGGCCTCCCTCCTCCCTCCCTCCCGCAGCCTCGCCTTTGTCGACGCCTCTCGGAAGGCCAATTTGGGCTCCTCCCTGTCGCATTCCTGCAACTCCAATTGCTACACTGAGGTACCGTGGCATTGTAGAGGGAGGGGAGGAAGACCTCCAGGCGCTGGGGCTGACCTTGTCCACGGGCACCAACAGGTGGTGGGCCAGGCGGGAAAGTTGACGATCGCGGTCTGCTCGGACAGGGAGATCGCCTACGGTGCGTGGATCCGAGATGGTTTGGTGGCGAATCCCCCTGCCCTCCCTCCCTCCCTCCTTCCCTCCTTCCTTTTCTGGGTAGCTTGCTCCGTGGCTGGAGGATAACTAGAGGCTATTACTTGTGGTCTTGAATTTATGGTTCAACGTTTGCTCGCCATCATTCAAGTAAACCATCATCTTGTATATTTCACAATATAACACATATTCACTCCCTCCCTCCCTCATTCCCTTCCTCCCTCCTTCCCTCCCACCCTCCCTCCCTCCATTCCTCCCAGGCGAAGAGCTGACGATGGACTACTGCTCCTTCACCCACTCGGAAGAGGAGTACCTGGCCGCCGTCTGTCTCTGTGGCTCGCACATTTGTCGGTGAGATAGGCAGGGAGTGAAGGAGAGGGGAAGGGAACAGGCCGCCATGAATGCCATTCCCTACTGGACGTCATGGTAGTAACATGAGAGGGGAGAGAGGCAAGCAAAGGCTGGCTTCTGGGCATCTGGGAAGAATGGAGAGTCCTGATTAAGACGAGTGCCTAGGACCCGGAGTGAAGGATGGGGTCAAGGGAAGACTTTTATC